ACCACGGTTCAAGTCCTGGACCTGGTGGCTTGCTTTCCCACTTTCTCTCCCTCTCTCTCTCTGTCTCGTTCTGGTCACATTAAAATAAATGAATGAATAAATTAAAAAAAAAAAAAAGAAGAAATAACATTTATAAATAAATAAAATAAACACGTGTCCCGGTCAGCTGACAGTGAGAGAAGAGTGACAGGGACAGTGGCCCTGCACACGTACCTGGCTCCAGGCCCAGCTCCAGGGTCTCCTCCCTCACCACCTGCACCAGCATCGCCAACAGCAGGAACAGGAAGGCAAATGTGAGGCAGACGGAGCGCTCGCCGCCCTCCTCGGCACTGAAGTACAGCCGGGTCACGGTCAGGAACACTTTGCTGGGGACACAGCTAAGGACGCTCCGCGTGTAGGTGTCCCCGGTCCACCCCCATCCCTCCAGCCTGGGATGCCACAGCTCCAGGACACAAACGCTCCTCCACGTCACGCCCATGGGGGTGTCCTGGAGGAGCTCAAATTTGGGGTCCCGAGACCCAGGTGGGGGGGATGAGCCTGGTGCTTGTTTGGTGGGTGGGGGCCTCATCCCAACCGCTGTGGCCACTTAGGAATTGCCACCACGGGGCCAGCAGGGAGCAGAGTGGTTAAGGTGCTGACCACGGTTGTAGCTGACGACGGTTCGAGTCCTGGACACAGCACTGTGTGAGTGTGTGTGCGTGTGTGCCCAAAATCCTGAGAGGAGAATGGAGGAGAAGTGATTGTGGTGTGGCCATCCCCCCTGGGGAGTCATTTCTTCCTTTCTGTCTGTCTGTCTCTGTCTCTCTGGTGAGTGCACGCATCTTATAGCAAAAAAAAAAAAAAAAAAAATTGCCATGTCTCTGCAACTCATGTTCACAGATACGCCATCTCTCTCCCCTTTTTTAAAATAATTATTTTACTGGGACCAGCAGTTGGCGTAATGGCTATGTCGCTGGACTCTCATGTAGTCGGCTGTGGTTCAAGTCCCAGAGCCGGTGGCTTAAACTCATGCCGGGTGCGTGTGCGTGCATGCCCAAGATCCCGAGAGGAGAATGGAGGAGAAGGGATTGTGGTGTGGCCATCCCCCCTGGGGGGTGATTTCTCACTTTCTGTCTCTCCGTTTCTCTCTGTCTTTCTGGCAAGCGCACATACCCTATAGCAAAAAACTCTCCAAAAAAATAGTAATAATAATAATAATAATAAATAAGTAAAATAAATGAGTAAATCAAGTAAAAGAAAACAAAATAAAAACACAGAAAAACATGGCGGTCCTGTGTGTATTCCCAAAATCCCAACAGGATAGAGAACTAGAGAAGAGATTGGCATGACTACACTCGATTGGGGAGGAGCTTTCTCCCTCTCCCTCTCCCTGGGTCTCTGGTAAGTGCATGTTTTGACAATTAAATAAAAGAGAACCAGCAGTTAGCATAATGGCTATGTCGCTGGACTCTCATGTAGTCGGCTGTGGTTCAAGTCCCAGAGCCGGTGGCTTAAACTCATGCCGGGTGCGTGTGTGTGCGTGCCCAAGATCCCGAGAGGAGAATGGAGGAGAAGGGATTGCGGCGTGGCCATCCCCCCTGGGGGGTGATTTCTCGCTTTCTGTCTCTATGTCTCTCTCTGTCTGTCTGGCGAGCGCACGCACCCTACGGTGAAAATCTCTCCAAAAAAAAAAAAAAGGGAGGGGTTGTCCAGCAGGTGGCGTGGAGGTTAAGGCAATGGATTCCACATGACCAAATGCAGTTCAAGTCCCGGACCCGGTAGCTTAAAAATCATGCTGGGCATATGTGTGTTCATACCCAAAATCTCAAGAGGAGAATGAAGGAGAAGGAACTGTGGTGTGACCATCCGCCCTGGGGGGGTGATCTCTCACTTTCTATCTCTCTGTCTCTCTCCAGTGAGTGCACGTGCCGTATGACAAAAACCTAAAAAAAAACCAAAAAAAAAAAAAAAAAAAAAAAAGTGAAAAAAGATTTCTCTCTCCACAAACCCACTCCACACGAGTAGCATTCTTTGTGCATATTTTCCATCGTTAATCTCTCTAGCTTCCTGTTTGCATCTGGCTTCTATGACCTTTAATAAAAAATGTGTAGTCTGTCTCTCTGTCTCTCTGGCAAGTGCATAGGCCCTATGGGAAAAATCTTTTTTTTTTGGAGAGGTTTTTGCTATAGGGCGTGTGCGCTCGCCAGACAGACAGAGAGAGACATAGAGACAGAAAGTGAGAAATCACCCCCCAGGGGGGATGGCCACGCCGCAATCCCTTCTCCTCCATTCTCCTCTCGGGATCTTGGGCACACACGCACACGCACCCGGTGTGAGTTTTAAGCCACCGGGTCCGGGACCCGAACCACGGTCAACTATATGGGAGTTCAGCAACATAGCCATTACGCTGTTAGTCCCATGTGCTTCCCATCCTTAAAGTGTTGGCACAGGCCGGTGTTTGTCCTGTCCCAGACTGTACATGGAAGGGGCATCGTGGCAACATCTGTCTCCCAAATCCGTTTTCCCTGGAGCGACCCCGGGGCTGGTGGGGCGGTGCACTATGGAATTGTGGGGCAGTTCTAGGGCAGCAGGTTCCATGGGGGTATGTGCTGGTGTGTGGCATCCGACCATTGGGGTGCGACCCCGTGGGTCTGTCCCAGTCATTCTGGTCAAACACACACCCATAGCAAAAAATAAAAAATAAAAAAAATTGCACAGAGGGGCATCTCTTTCCTGGGCCTGATTCACTCTGACACAGAGAATGTGGTGGAAGGGACAGGGATGCAGCAGGCAGTACCCTTTGGCTTTCTGGTGGGAGACAAGACCGCGAGGAGTGGAGATGAACCGGCCCAGCAGAGCCCTGTCCGGCCTATCCACCCACAGAGCAAAACGGAGCCTTCTCTATGCCACTGAGTTTGGGGAGACAGAGGCAGTAACTGACATAGCAGTGTTGGGGGGGAGAGGGGGAGCAGCGGGAAGCAAGGATACATGGAGAAGGCCACAGTGACCAGACACCAGCACACGGCGATGTTGGTCTCCTTGGCTGGGCCCAGCACGTAATAATAGGCCTCTGTGAAGAGGTACACGCCACCCGAGTACACGGCAAAGTCCACGAACCACTGGTACTCCAGGAAGAAGTGCAGGACTGTGGGGACACGCGGCTTAGCCCCTGCCCAGCCCGTACCTTCTCCTGACCCCCATCCCCCATGACGGCATGGTGACCCGCAGGGCCAAGGGAGGGGAGTCTGGCAACCAGGACTGAGCTGTTACCGAGGGCATCGACGGTCGTGAGGGGGCAGGTCTCCAGCTGAAAAGGGGCATCTCGGGGCACAGACAATGGCTTCTCATCACTAAGGCCATTGGCCCACCTGCAGGGTTGGAGGCAAGGAAGGGGACAGGTGAGAGTGGCATTCTGTCCCCAGCGTCAGGGCCCTGTGCACCTCAGAATACGGGTACCTCCCACCCCTCCAGGGCTGACCCAGAGCAAAACCTAAGTGAGTTGCTACCTTGACAATGAATCTGTCCCTTCAGGGTCGCCCCGACCACCTGTGTCCGGGACAGCACCAGGAAGTGTGAGAGGGCAGACCCAGTGTCCCCGCAGCGTGGAGCCCCAGGACAGGAGAAGGCTGTCCCTGGGAGGGGACACACTCACTCACCGTTCCTTCCGGCCTCTGGGCTTCTGTTTCCCGGCTAGTGCCCGAAGCTCTTCCTCAGACGGATGCTTGTACCGGAAAAGACTGAGGGCAGAGAGGGTTATCAAGGAAGCTCCAGTGGGGCCAGCAGGTGGCGTGGTAGTTAAGGGCACTGAACTCCCACATGGCCGACCACGGTTCGAATCCCAGACCGGGCAGCTTGCTTTCTCACTTTCCCTTTCTCTCTCTCTGGTCAAATTAAAATAACTAAAGTTAAATAAAATCATTCTTAAAAGAAAAAAGAATAAAGAGGGGCCAGCAGGTAGCATGGTGGTTAAGGGCCCTGGACTCCCACATGGGTGACTGCGGTTCGAGTCCCGGATCTGGTAGCTTGCTTTCTTACTTCCTCTTTTTCACTCTCACTCTGTCCCTCTCTTGTCAAATGAAAATTAAATACATAAATAAAGTAACATAAACAATAATTCTTTTAAAAGAATCAAAAATAAAGAAAGCTCCAATGTGGGGGAAAGAGATAGCAATCCCCAAATTGGGTGGCTGAAGTCAGAGGGAGGGCTGGGGTGGAGGCCAGGCCAGGGGGAGTCTGAGAGATATTTGGACATGGACTACAGAAAGAGGAAATTCTGGGAAGGCACTGGGGCCCACAGACCCAGGCCAGGTGGCTTTGGGGGTCCTAGACACCCCAGAATCTGTTGGCTAACTCTCCTGGAAAAGTAGGTGCATGCATTTTTCTAGGTAGATAATTCAGTTTCTGCCATATTCTCAAAAAGGGCCAGAGACCAAAATAGGGGCAAAAGCCAGAGTGGAGTGACCAGCAGGTGGCGTGGTGGTTAAGGTGCTGAGCTGCAGCATACCCGACTGCAGTTCCAGTCCCAAACCCAGCGGCCTGAAAAATGCATACGTGGGGACCAGCAGTAGGCGTAATGGCTATGTCCTGGGCTCCCACATAGTCAACTGCGGTTCAAGTCCCGGACCCGGTGGCTTGAACTCATGCCGGGCGCGTGTGCGTGCATGCCCAAGATCCTGAGAGGAGAATGGAGGAGAAGCGATTGCGGTGTGGCCATCCCCCCTGGGGGGTGATTTCTCACTTTCTGTCTCTCTGTCTGTCTGGCAAGTGCATGTGCCCTATAGAAAAACCCTCTCCAAAAAAAAAAAAAAAGAAAAGAAAAGAAAAAAAAAAGGGGGGGGGCCAACTGGTGGCATAATAGTTAGGGAGCTAGACTCCCATGGGGCTAGCCATGGTTCGGATCCTGGATCCAGTGGCTTGAAATTAAAACTGGGTGCGTGTGCGTGCATGCTCAAAAAACCCAGAGAGGAGAATGGAGGAGAAGGGATTGCGGCGTGGCCATCCTCCTGGGGAGTGATTTCTCGCTTTCTGTCTCTCTGTCTCTTCTATAAGCGCACACACCCTATAGCAAAAATCTTTCAAAAAAGGGGGGGTGGACAGTTAGTGTTGGTGACTGAGACAGCTGGATACCACATGGCCGACTGTGGGGTTCAAGTCCCAGAACTGACAACTTGAGAAACACACCAGGTGCATGCGTGTGCAAGTCCAAAATCCTAGGAGGGGACTGGGCTGCAGCATAACCGTGCTCCCTGGGAGGGGTGCTTTCTTACTTTCCCTCTCTGTCTCTCTCACCAGCCCACTCTCCCTCTAACAAAAGAAAAAAATAATAAAACAACAGGAAAATGGGTCTTTTGCAAGAATAAGGATAAAAGAAAGGCAGAATTAGAAGGGGGAACATGGGGACCAGCAGGTGATGTAGTGGTTAAGGCGCCGAATTCCCACGTGGTTTGAGTCCTGGACCCAGAGGCTTGCTTTCTCACTTTCTCTCTCTCTCTCTCTGTCCCTCTCTGGTCAAAATTAAAATGAATAAATAGGGGCTAGCAGATGGCATAGTGGTTAAGGGCGCTGGACTTCTACACGGCCAACCACGGTTCAAGTCCTGGACCTGGCAGCTTGCTTTCTTACTTTCCCCCTCTCTCTCTTCCTCTCACTCTGCCGCTCTCTGGTCAAATTAAAATAAATAAATAGAGGGAACCAGCAGTTAGCGTAATGGCTATGTCACTGGACTCCCACGTAGTCG